CCCCCTAATTCAGAGATCAGGAAATTTTTCTTTCAACCCTCACTTGCTTCCCTCGCTAGACGTCTGCTGCAGGGGTTCTAGACCTTCGTTCTTTCGCTTCCGCGCGGACTTCATCTCCGCATCCTCCACAATTCGCCATTGATGTTGCATCCTGTAGTACAGCTCCAGCTCCTTGTGCTCCTGGGCCTTCGTCAAAGCATTGGCGAGCTGCGCTTCCGAGTGGACCCATCGTAGAAGAACTCCTGTGCACTCTTGTGCGGCTTTTAGTCCCATCAGCTCGATGTTGGCCTTCTTCTCGGCTCCGTTGATGCTGAACATTGCTGTAGCCAGTTTGTCGTAGACGTTGCGTGAGTCGGTGATCACACAACCGGGAACCTTCGCCACGCTCCGGTCCGGATTCCTGAGGTCGGGCTTGCCGTAGACCATCTCGGACCACTGGTAGCGCACGTAGTACAACGTGTCCTCACCGTTGACTGCTGCGGCAGTCTCTGCCGCCCCTGGACTCCTACACACACGGTCAATCCTAGTAGAGTGCCAGCTCACGGGGCTGATAGCCGCCACTTCACCCTTCAACAAGGCATCTGAAGAAGCCCCTATGAAGATCCCTTGAGTGCTTCCCCCGTCAATCCTATTCTGGTTAGCCGCGTCCACCCATGCGTAGAAGTGTGTCTCGCCTTCCTGACGGGTGATCAGCATCTTATGATCCTTGCGGGCTTTAGTGTGCTCAAGGAGGAGGTTGGCTTTGACTATCGTCTCTACCGTGGAATGATTCACTTCCGAGAGCATGAGTCCTACCTCTGCAGAAACATGGGGCGCCACTTGTTGAGCATGCCAGCTTAGGCCTCCTAGAAGTGCTCTTAGCTTCGACTTCTCCAGGTCAGTAGTCGGGGCCTTGCGCGTGGATCTCCTAGAGGAACTCAAGTTGATGGCTTCAATTCCCTCGGCATATTTGGGCTGAGCTAAGGTAAACCCCTGAGAAGTGGTTTCAACTTGCACGCCACACTGCGTAAACTGATCCTTGTCCCAATCTCCCCACTTGAAACGCTCCTGAATCTTTTTAAGGATCTCTTGCCACTCCCCATCGTCATCTCTTCCCCCAAACAGAAAATCATCCACATGTCCCGAAATCATACCCCGGGTGACTCCGTCTTTTACGCCACATCCATGCACACGAGTCCGACCAAAGTCTTTCGAATCCTAGGCTTGACAGAAACTCAGCTACCGTCTTGTACCATTCCAGCGGGGCATCCACGAGACCATAGCATGCCCGCTTCAGGCGGGTAATCGACCCAGGCGCCAGTCCCATTGCCTGGCAGATCTCGTCACAGGGAATGCAGTAGAGCTCTGAGGGGTAGGCTCTCCCTTGCAGAAACGCCCCGCTCACATCTCCTTTCATCAGTCGCCATCTTTTGTTGGCAGATAATTGTAGCATCAGCTGTCGGGTCTGCCTGGTCATTACTGGAGATGTAGTTGATCGGTGCTCGTAGCCGGGGTCCTGGTAGCCTAAAAGCACTGCACGTGCTTTTGGCTTGACCCCCCCGTCGTCTCGGACCTTCCAGGTGAGTATCCACCTCATACCCACGGCTTGTTCACGGCTTGGCTTGAGCTCGTCGGGAAGTGCTTCAAACGCCTGCGCCGCAATGAAGTTGCGGACTTCCACGCTCTTTGCTTCTTGGAAGCGTTCCCGGTCGGCCGGCGAAAGCCGGCGCTCACTCACTTCCACAGCCTTCCTCTTCAAGGCTCCCACGAAGTAGTTCTGGAGATCTCGTGTCATGGTTTCGAGTCCCCGACGGCTCTGCGGGACGTCTATAGCCACCTCCACTGCTGCTTTCTCATCCGTCCAGAAACTAGTGTGTTCGGCTAACCAGGCTGTCTGCTTCACTTCTTCCCACCATTTACTGGCTTGTGTGTGCATGCCTTGTTGAGGTTCTGCCGGTTCTAGACGTCGAAGAGAGCTTGGCTGGCTTGTACCCGCCTCCTGGTCCTCGTCCATCTCTGAGTCGCCCTGACTCACATCAGTCGCTGGCCTCTTTGTGGTGATGCGGTGACGCGCGGGCTGAATCTCCTGCCTTGGGTCCTGGGCTCTGGCCCACTCCTCTGCACTAGGAACCTCAGCAGACACGTCTTGGTATTGATTTCCGCCGACTTCCTCGACCAGACGGGTGAACGTCCAGGGCGTCGAAGTTTGGTCCGTGAGGGCCTCCACCAACTCCCCCCGCTGGCTGGCGGGTCTTAGCTGTTCTGGGCTGCATTTAATCAGGCTCCGGCCACGCACACACCAGATAGCGTGGGCAGGTCGTCGTTGGCCCTCTGCATCCTGCCTCGTTTCCATGGCCAGCACTCGCGCGGGACCTAGGAAGCGTCCTTGATTGGTTCCAGGCTGCTTCTTGCTCTTGTTAGATTCTTGTGTCCTCCAGAAATACACCAGATCTCCGGGTTGGTACACGCAATCAGGTCGCGACCGAGAGTTCAGAGCTCGTTGGATTCGCTGTTGAGCATTCCACTCTGCCAGTGCCTTCTCTGCGGCTGCCCGCAGTTCTGCCTCTCGCCGAAAGTCCTCCACCGGGCTGTTGAGGATCGTCCCGGCATCCTCTGATCCGGGCAGTTTCACACACTGTCCTGTCGCATCGGGGCTCACCCCCAGCACGTGTTGGGTCGGAGTCTGTTTGTACCATCTTGGACATGAGCTGTTTCAGGCCTTGAATAGCCTGCTCAGCTACTCCAATCTGCCAATGCGCCTCCCCGGGAATGATATCCAAGTAGATCCCCTGCCTATCGCAGAATCCCTCTATCGAACCTGCCCTAAAGCTTCCCGCGGGATCGAGCCTCAGTGTCTTCGGCTGTCCGAAGTGTTGTATCCAGCCTTCCGTCAGGAAGTTGAGACACAGAGCCGCATTGGGGCTTTGAGCTTTCCCTTTTGTGAGGATCCTAGCAGCACGGTACCTAGAGCCCTCATCCACTATCACCATGAAGTTTTGCTGCTCTCCGGTCGTAGGATGCGTCCAGTGTCCTACGTCAGCAGTAAGGGTATGAAACTTAGGGGGCAGAGGTTCCAGCGAGGCCACTTGACGTGGTTGGATTTTCCGTTTCTCTTCACACACCGAGCATCGAAACTGTTTAGCTATCTCCAGGATTTTGGGGTCCGCATTGCGGCGCTTCAGGGCTTCGATCATGTTCCGAATGCTTCCATGGCCGGTCGCCGCATGTAGCAGATACAGCTTACGCTTGATAGCTTCTTCATCCTTAGGGTCTTGTCTCTTGAGGGGTCCACTCCAAGGGCCTCGAGCCTTTAGAACATACGCTTGGCCTTCTGGACACGCGGGAGGCACAGGAAAACCGAGCTGACGAAGGTGTTCTTGGATTTCGGGTCCTACCTTAGCCCATCCCCTACTACTGTACGCGCTCACAGTCACCCTGTCGCCCTTCCACTCCTGTGTTCCATGCCACTTATGTCCCGAAAACTTCACCACTTGCTCCCTTACCTCAAACCTCTGGCCTTTCAACCATTGTCCCTTGTGCAACCTTCGAAATCCTTGCTGGCCTGGAGCCTTCAATTCCTCATCTGAACTCTCCACCCACAACTCTCCCCCTTGAAAGCTTCCTACACCTATGATGTAGTTCCACGTTCCTGGGAGGTTGTGCACATCTCGGTGGATCTTCAGGTGGCAGTTATCGTTAACAACAAAGGAGGTACATTGAAGGGGTTCAGGGCTCCAGTGTTGCAAATACGCGAGGACAAACTTGGTCACTTCCGGAAAGGCTTGAGTATGCTTAGTGACGCCATATTGGTTACCGTGGGAGTACAGGCCAAAAGCAAGATACCGGGCTTGTCGTTCCTGGATGGGACCTCGGTGGTTTGGGCTTGGTTTGTAGGGCAGCTGTTCAAGGAGTTGTTCGCACGCCTGGTGTTGATAGTTGTGGGTCTCTCGAAGCTTCCGGGCTTGTGCTTCGAGGTCATTCCTCAGCACCTCATTCACCACATCAGCTTCATCACTCCTAGCTACAGCATTCCCAAAACACTCCGCAACTTCCATCCCTCCTAACTCTTCAGAAAGTTCCGAAACGAAACCCTGTTCCCTTGGCACCGCGTCCCTGCCTTTAAGACAGCACGCACACTCAGCAACAAGCTTGGAGTCGCGAGCTTCACCACATGTGCAGAACTCCCCTTCTCCAAAACCTTCCAACAGCTGAGTTACTCCGGCACACTCCTGGATGGTCCCTTGGTGGGACAACTCTTGGCACAGGACACGACCTACCCTATGCACGTATTCAGGAGT